TGCACTTTACGCTGCCTAACATTTTTGTCTTTCTGACTCTGATGAGGCCTGCAAATAGCTAACCTGGGTTCTTTATGCCCTGCTTGTTAGATGTGATGCTTAATATTTATTCCTTCCTTTAGAGCTGCAGAGCCTGACACAAATGGAAACATTAGCACATGGATAGGGAACTCTTTACATCTTACGTGTTTGGTAATGACCAAATTTGAAACAGACGACCCAGTGAAGTTGTCCCAAAGGTGCTTTTTCAAAAGGCCACTGGACTTCATTGTTTCTGGCAGGCATTGAAGAAGTCAGAACTGAAGAAGCTTCTTGGATGGAAAGCGAAACATCTTCAAGAAGAAACAAAGTCCAGTGGTCTTTTGAAAAAACACCTTTGGGACAGCCATGCCCTGGATGACTCTCCATCAACATAAACCCAGTGAAATAATTGATCTCATTGATTCCAACGACATCAAGAGAGAATCAATGCTGAACACTACGGTTAAATAGTCGGCAACTATCGTTGCTGGCAAAATAGCTTGTTCAGGGTTTTAATAAAGGGTTCGCAGAAACAAGATTTAACAGAAGATTTAACTCACCCATCGTCGACCCAGACTCGGGCCTGTTTAATGAGCTAATGATCACGAATCCAAACCCTTCATTTTCTTTCCGATGGATGACGACGTCGCTGGTTGGCACGCTGTGCGAAGGGAAGCTCTCGGGAGGTGTAGCATTGTTGCTGGACGCAACGTGATTGCTGTTAGCGTATGTAGCATAGTCGCTTCTGGGAGAACTGTGGTGGGTGGACACAGAGCCTGGACTTCTGCCGTTTTCTGGACACGGTTCCCCTGGAGAAAAAAAAAAAAGACATTGACCAGAATCAGAGAGATGGGGTTTTCTGCATTCCATGGTGGCGCAGTGGTGAGAATGCAGTATTGCAGGCTAACTCTGCCGAATGCCAGGAGTTCGATCCTGACCAGCTCTAGGTTGACTCAGCCTTCCAGCCTTTAGAGAGCACTTGTCTCTAAAGTTGCCGAGAGTCGGACACAACTCAACGGTTACAACCAGCACAAGTGTCTTGCCCAAAGCACATGCCAATAAATGCAACATTATTGATTCCTACGTGACTTTGCGATAGTTTGAGTGACAGGTTGGCTCTTAGCCGGGCACCATCTGCTCGCCACCAAATAAATAATGGGATCATCTTTGATCTTTCAGTTCAATACAATCAAACGCAGCACAAATTATTACGTTTCCACAAGAAGCAAAAACAAGAAGGCAATAATTTATTCCTGGAAGTGTGCGTCTTCTAGCAGTCCTCCTAGACCTTTGATAAGAAGGGAATTAACGCACGAAGGAAAGAAACAAATCCCATCGAACGATGATTAAGCCACTATGTTTCGAACGGAAAATCTCCCAAAGTTATTGAACCCAAGTCAAAACTAGGTGCCACCGTCAGTGACGAGAAAAATTTAATTTTCTGGCTGTCACGTTTCGGAGGGCTGAACGGTGTTTATGTCACTGTGGGTGCAACGGGAAGGAAATGAACTCACCCCACAGAATTACTGACAGCTGTCTTTGCTGTAAATGAACACAACGAATTGCCATTAAGGACGGCAAAAATAAACTTATTTTGCTCTAGAGTTTCTGTCTAATTTGAAAAATCTATTCGTGGGGAAAAGAAGAGTTCAAGATTAGTCATATGCTCTGCAGAATGCAGCAGGTTAAGCTCTTTTCTCCTTGAAATGTCAGTATTTCCTGACTACAGGTAGTCCTTGACTTACATCCACAACTGAGCCCCAAAGTTCTGTCGCTAAGCGAGACAATTGAGTTTTGCCCCCTTTTTACGACTGCTCAGATGCCAACCGTCCCTATGATCTTGTTCTGTCTTCCAGACCCTGATTGGGGCACCAATGATAACTTTATGTCTGAAATAGTATAGATTTTTGTCTGAAATGATAAGGGGGTCTCCTGCTTGAGTAGGGGGTTGGACTAGAAGACCCCCCCAAGGTCCCTTCCAACTCTGTTCTTCTGTTATCACAGTGATCGCTCTAATTTGAGGACAAATGATCTGAATCCAATCCCTTTTTTGCTCTCCTCAAAATGGTGCAAGCACAGTGAGGTGCTGATAAACCCTAATTAGTCCCAAAGATACTTTTTCGTGAGGCTGGAGAAGCTTCTTGGATGAGAAGCGAAACATCTTCAAAAATAAGAACAAGAAAGTCCAGTTGCCTCTTGAAAAAGCACCTTTGGGACAACCATGACCTGGATAGACTGAGAATCTCCACAGACATTATTAGTGAGCCCTTTACTGCATCATTGTTTGCCGTGGGACCCAAGCATCATGGAAGGTTTTGATTCATTAAGGATTCTGTGGCAATCTGTTCTGAACTTCCCTCAGCTGGAAGGGACCTTGGAGGTATTCTAGTCCAACCTTCAGCCCGACAGGAGTCTTCATGCCATCCCAGATAAATGGTTGTCCAATCTTTTATTGAAAACCTCCAGTGATGAAGCATCCACAAGTCTGGGTGGCAAGCTGGTCCATTGATTAATTATTCTCACGGTCAAAAAAAATTCTTATTTTCAAGTTCGATCTCTCTCTGAGGGGTTTCCTTCTGTTGGTTCTTGTTCTGCCTCAGGTAGCTGAGACCCTCCCCACTTCAAGTTTTGAAAATGGCTATCATGTCACCCCCTAAGTCAGACATGTCAAACACAAGGCCCGGGGGCCAGATGCGGCCCGCGAAGTGGTTTCATGCGGCCCGCGAAGCCATCATGGAAACAGTGAGGGAATGGCCCCCGTTGCCTTGGCCCCGGCCCAGACCGGCCGGGAGCCAATGTACAATTTTGTGGTGGCCATCTATGCTGAAACGCATTCAGTCTTAGCTCCACAAGGCCGTCTGGAAACAGCAAGGAACCAGCCCCTGCCGCATCGGCCCCGCCCCCTGGGTGCATGCTGGGGAGGGGTCACCCTTTGTGAGGAATGAAGAAATGGACCATGCCTTGGCACTTGCCCCGGTCCCACCCCCTTCTGCCAGAGACCCTCAGATCTGTCCCACTCCTGCCCAGGCCCCCACAGGCACCCTTGATGCGAATGATGTACAGCTGGCCACACCCACCCAGTAGGCCACACCCACTCCATCCACGCCCACCCAGTAGGCTGCACCCACCCTGGCCACACCCACCCAGCCCCCCCGAGGGCAACCACAATGCTGATGCGGCCCTCAGTGAAATTGAGTTTGACACCCCTGCCCTAAGTCTTCTGTTCATTAGACTACATATTCCTAGTTTCCTTAAGTGGTCATCGTATGGTTTAGGAAATACATATACACTGGAAAGGTATCCCTGCTTCTGCATTAGGAAAAAACTGGAGGGAGTTAAATGGCCTCGATCCAGCTAAAATTAGTAATATTTAATTGAAAACCAAGGGACAAATTAATTGAAACTAATTTAATCAACAGAAGCTGCATTTCTATACTCACTTAGCCAGAAACAATACCAAAGGACTTCCAGCAGCCAAGGATGCTATCCCACTGTTCATCAAGTTTAGCTTGATTAATTTAATTTAATAATTTTAAGCAATTTTAACTGGACCCGTTTCTCATTTTATTTTTAATAATGAATGATGACAACGGTCACCAGTCTGGGGGAAAAAAACGAAATAAACTAATTACAGTAGCATGCTATTGATTTTATGCGAGTGAGAATAAAAATAAAAATCGTTCATAGAAAAAGCCAAACGTTTATAAATGAACAGGAGAAGAATGCTGATATCCTAATTCCAGTTTCCTGCTTAAGCAAGGGGTTGGACTAGAGCTCCAATGTCCCTTCCAGCTCTGTTATTCTTAGTTGAGTCCCACCAGAGAAACCAACATTTTCTTAATTACAGAATAACTGGGAAGAAGAAGAAGAAGAAGAAGAAGAAGAAGAAGAAGAAGAAGAAGAAGAAGAAGAAGAAGAAGAAGAAGAAGAAGAAGAAGAAGAAGAAGAAGAAGAAGAAGAAGAAGAAGAAGAAGAAGAAGAAGAAGAAGAAAGAGGGGGAGGAGGAAGAGGAAGAAGAAGAGGAAGAGGAAGAGGAAGAAGAAGAGGAAGAAGAAGAAGAAGAGAAAGAAGAAGAAGAGGAGGAAGAAGAGGAAGAAGAAGAAAAGAAGAGGAAGAGGAAGAAGAAGAGGAAGAGGAAGAGGAAGAAGAAGAAGAAGAAGAAGAAGAAGAAGAAGAAGAAGAAGAAGAAGAAGAAGAAGAAGAAGAAGAAGAAGAAGAAGAAGAAGAAGAAGAAGAAGAAGGAAGAGGAGTAGGAGGAGGAAGAAGAAGAAGAAGGAAGAGGAGGAGGAGGAAGAGGAAGAAGAAGGAAGAGGAGGAGGAGGAGGAAGAGGAAGAAGAAGGAAGAGGAGGAGGAGGAGGAAGAAGAAGAAGAAGAAGAAGAAGAAGAAGAAGAAGAAGAAGAAGAAGAAGAAGAAGAAGAAGAAGAAGAAGAAGAAGAAGAAGAAGAAGAAGAAGAAAGAGGAGGAGAAGGAGCCCACAGTCCTCCTCCTCCTCACAAACCTCCCTCCTTTATAGCACTGATGATGTTACCTAGTTTGGGTAATGAAACGTCTGCAAGAAAACAACCAAGCTCAGAGAGAGCACCAAGGACTCCTGATGAATGTGAGATTCTCAAAGCTTTTTGAAGGACCAACCTTGTTATAAAGGTCATCAAAGAGTTGTAATTAAGTGTGAGGAGCAAGAATGAGACATTCGTAGTGGCTACTGCGACGAAAATAGATCTTTCTAAACGGAAGGAATGGCCACAGCAAACACAATTCAGCGCAAGCAACCGTCAAGGGACACACTTCGTACCAAACGTTTTCCAAAATCAAAATCCACCTGATGCTGAGGGCATCTCTCACTAGCCTGACTGCCTAGAAAATAAACTCCTGTGGTTATGGCGGCTGGCTCAAGGAAACGATCAACCATATTGAAAAAAGACAAATTCCACATTAGGAATTATTAGGAAAAAAACACACACGGTAGATTGTGCTCGGAAGCCTTCTGTCATCGCAAGACAGCTGTGAAAAAAAGGCAAATTCCATTTTAGGCACCATTAGGCAAGGCGTTGCAAATAAAATGGCTAATGTAATAATGTTCAAAAGGATAGCTGTGTTCCCCAGTTGCAGCAAAAAACGAATGCGCAGTGGAGGCAATCCCTTAAGCCTGCTGGCAGAATTCACGCGTTAATCTTTAAGGCACGACAGACCTTGGTCCTTTTTAATATAGTAATCGTTGTAAACCTCTCTGTGTTGCAGCCACCCTCGCCAAGTCTCAGTGTTCACATTTGGAAGAAGGATAGCAATTTTTAGAGGTATGATTCAAGTTTTAAATAGCAATAGCACTTAGTCTTATATACTGCTTCATAGTGCTTTACAGCCCTCTCTAAGCCGTTTACAGTGTCAGCATCTTGCCCCCGACAACCTAGATCAGGGGTGTCAAACTCGCATCGTCACGCGATGTGTCGCGACTTTTTTTCCCATTACTGGCAATGGGGTGGGCGCGGTTTCGCTATGATGCATCTGGCCTGCGGGCCGGCAGTTTGCCACCCCTGACCTAGATCCTTATTTTATCCACCTCAGAAGGGTGGAAAGCTGGGTCAACCTAGAGCTGATCAGGATCGAACTCCAGGCAGCATTTGCCTGCAATGCTACATTCTAACCACTGCACCACCATGGCAGAGATAGCAATAGCACTTAGACATACATACAGCTTCACAGTGCTTTACAGCCCTCTCTAAGCAGTGTACAGAGTCAGGATATTGTCCCCAACAATCTGGGTCCTCGTTTTACCCACCTCAGAAGAGTGGAAGGCTGGGTCAACCTAGAACTGGTCAGGATCGAACTCCTGGCAGTGGGCAGAATTAGCCTGCAATACTGCATTCTAACCGCTGTGCCACCACGGCTCCTAAAGAATGATGGACCATCTTTGGAAGCTCCAAGAACCCCAGAGTGATATCATTCCTTTGAAAAGCCTCAGAAAGAAGTCTTATTTTCCCACTGGATAAACACAGCAGTTTATTTTCTTCTTGACAAGAGCCCTTGTTCAAGACAGGTGACCAAAACTGAGTCCAAAACAGCAGTTTGAGCTGTGATATGCAGCTTGTATCTCCTTGAGGATCTATTCCCAACACATGAGTCCAGGAGGAATATGAACAGGTTTGGTCAAAAAAGTCATCAGGGTGGCTGTGTTTTTTAAGAAAGCATACTTATTTAAATTAGGAATTGATATATTTTTCCAGCAAAGGGATATTGTAAGACAGGGGTCCCCAATCCCTGGTCCGTGGACTGGTACTGGGCTGCGGCATGCCAGCAAGCGGTCCACACAAACAAGCAAAGCCCCATCCATGGGATGCAGGTAGCACACAAAACCACACACTCTCCGGTCCATGGAAAAACCTTTCTTAATGGAATCGGTCTTTGGTGCCTAAAGGTTGGGGACCTCTGTTGTAAGAGAAGGACGAGCAGAGTCTGGGGGGTGGGGTGGAGTCAAGACAGGAATCAGCGTGGAGTCTCTACATAGCCACAAACAGTCTAATTCCAGCCCCTTCTGAATTCCATTGACTATTATCTAGCACCAATTTACTGCTGACTGTTAGTTGACTAGATTCTTGCACATAGGATTCAGCCACAAATCTTCTTAACTGCAATTTAACTTATGGTCTTGGTCTTTCACGCCTGACACCATGAGATATTTATAGTCACAGTAAAAAAAAAATCAGCTCCAAAATCCTACATTTGCCCTCTATTTTTCTTTCTTTTTTTATTATATGTCATCAACTCGATGTCAACTCCGTGGTTTCTGCCGTCTACCTTTCAGATAATAAGATCTGCAGTAAAACAGCCCTACTATCTTAACTTTGACTTCAGCTATTCTCAATAGTCACCCGTGCTTACTTCCACCCAATTGTCTGCTGTTGCAGGTTGCATCACCCAATAATAAAACTATAATATCAACATGTATTTGGAACAAAACAATAAACAATAACTATACTCAGTGAGTAAAATACACATGAAGACTCAAAGCCTGTTGACAGAGGATGGTTTTCACTTCCTTCCTGAATCTTAGCAGAGATGGGACCATCCTTACATTGGAGAAGTCAACTGTTCCACAAGGTAGAACACAGAACATGGTTAAATGGTGGTCCGGTCTATTTTTTTGAGAACCTCCAGTGATGGAGCACTCATAAATATGAAAGGCAAGCTCTTCCATTGATTAATTGTTCTCACTGTCCGAAAATATCTCCTTACTTCTAGGTTGGGTCTCTCCATAACAAGCTTCCATCCATTACTTCTTATCCTGCCCTGTGGTGCTTTGGAGAACAAGTCAACCCCATCTTCTCTATGACAACCACTCAAGTGCTGGAAGGGACCTTGGGGGTCTTCTAGTCCAACCCCCTGCCCAATGCAGAAGTCCTTATATCATCCCAGAGAAATGGTTTTGCCCCATTGTACAACCTTCCTTGTCACACTGGTTAAGTGAATCACTGCAGTTATTAAGCTAGCAACACGGCTGAGAAGTAAATTTGTCTTCCCCCATTGAATTTGTCTGTCAGAAAGTCACAAAAGCTGATCACATGATCCCAGGATACTGCAACTGTCACAAATATGAATCAGTGGTTAAGCGCTCAAATTTTGATCACATGCCCAGGCTACAATGATCATAAATGTGAAAAACGATCATAAGTCTCTTTTTTCAGTGCGGTTGCAACTAAACGAATGGTTATAAGACAAGGACTACCTGTTGTCAAGATTGAATTGCTGTGATGCCTGCTAGCTTCTATCACTAAACAACTTGCCTTAGAAAAGGGGGGGAGGAGACAAAAGCGAAGGGAGGAAATGGATTGACAAGAAGCTGTTCACGGACCATGAGAGCCTGCACTACACCAAGGTCATTACAGCAGGTGCTCGATGGAGAAGTGAACTGTTCCCATAACAAAAAGAAGTATTACTATTGGACAATGTGAAAACCCGTTGGGTGGGAGGCATGGGAATCTATTGTTTAACTAAGCAAGCTTTCTCGTGGGAAAACTCAGAGCTGGTTTTGTTTTGTCAGTTCTGAGATAGTGTATCCAATAAAGCAGGGGTCCCCAACCCCCAGTCCGTGGACCAGTACCAGGCCACAGCATGCCAGCAACTGGTCCCCACTAACAAGCAAAGCCCCATCCGCAAGATGCAGGCAGCACACAAAACCACGCACCCTCCAGTCCACGGAAAAACCTCTCTCCACGGAACCGGTCCCTGGTGCCCCAAAGGTTGGGGACCTCTGCAATAAAGTTTTACCTTTGGTGGATCCTTTTGCTGGGTTCGCTAGTTGGACTATTGACACCTGCCCCCACCCATTTGGAAGGGGGGGGAGCGGGTAGAGTAGGCAATGGATCTGTGCTATCACAACGAAGTGATCCTACTTGGAAAGTTGGTTCCAAAGACAGACACAGCCCTGATATCAACACAACAGCCAACCAGACGATTGTAGTGGTAACGCAGAACAACGAAAGAGGAAACCTGCTAGAACCAATGGACGACTCTAAAGGACAGTTGAAACGTAAGTATGTTCTGCATTGTCTTTCGAGTCCCTTAATACTTTTCCCTTCCTCCAAACCCTCAGCTCACCTGCAGGTAGCACCTTTCTTCTCACGGTAAGGTTCACTTGCCCGTTCCGAGCTGCGTTGTGCATCAGATCTATCACGTAGCGGTGAGTTTTGCCAGCCACGGGGATGCCATCCACGTAGACCAATTCATCGCCAGGATGCAGGCGGCCGTCTCTGTCGGCCGAGCCCATCGCAATGACTGCCCCAATCAGAATCTAAGTTAGGACACACAAGGGAGGTGAGAAATGAAAATATGAAACCAGCCAGAATGTTCTCTGCAATGAGTAGGTAGAATTTTCCATTTTTTTTTCAGCCCAGGTTTTGTGTGTGTATGTGTGTGTGTATTTTTGCAATTGGATTCGGGTGTCATCCTTCGCAGAAGCCAAAGAGAATAGCAATAGCACTAAGCAATCGCACTTAGACTTATATACCGCTTCACAGTGCTTTACAGACCTCTCTAAGCGGTTTACAGAGTCGGCATGCTGCCCCCAACAATCTGGGCCCTCATTTTACCAACCTCGGAAGGACGGAAGGCTGAGTCAACCTTGAGCCAGTCGGGATTGAACTCCTTGCTGTGGGCAGAATTAGCCTGCAATACTTCCTTTTAACCACTGTGCCATCAGGAAAGACAATGAGAAAGGGAGTATGAGAGAAATAGGAAGGAAGGAAGGAAGGGAGGGAGGGAGGGAGGGAGGGAGGGAAAGAAGGAAGGAATAGCAATAGCACTTAGACTTATATACTTGTTCTCAGTGCTTTTACAGCCCTCTCTAAGCAGTTTACAGTTTACAGCTTGTTGTTGCCCCCAACAATCTGGGTCCTCATTTTACCGACCTCAGAAGGACGGAAGGCTGAGTTAACCTTGAGCTGCTGGGAATTGAACTGCTGGCAATCGGCAGAATTAGCCAGTACTGCATTCTAACCACTGTGCCAGAACCATGGCTCTTCCTTAAAAGAGGTAGTCCTCAAGTTAGGACCACAGGGGAGTCTGAAATTTATGTTGCTAAGTGAAACATCGGTTAAGTGAGTTTTGTCCCATTTTACAACTTTCCTTGCCACGGCTGTTAAATAAATCATTGCACTTGTTAAGTTAGTAACATGATTGCTGAGTGAATCTGGATTCCCCGTTGATTTTGTTTGTCAGAAGGTCACAAATGGGGATCACATGACCCCGGGACACTGCAACCGCCCTAAGTACATGCCAGTTGCCAAGCATTGGAATTTTGATCACATAACATCACGGATGCTGCAACGGTCGTAAATTTGAAAAATGGTCATAAGTCACTTTTTTCAGTGCCGTTGTAACTTTGAATGGACACTAAATGAAGTGTTGTAAGTTGTGGGCTACTTGTAATTACTATAACTCCAGCTTTCTGAAGCAATTAAATGTACATTTTTTCCTAAATAGCACTGAGATTTGTGATCCGAATAGCGACGCCTGTATAATAATTACAGCCCCGAAGAAATTAGGACGGATTTAAAATTCAAAAACATAAACTCTCATGCAATTAAGTCTGTAAGTGTTTAGGACACTGGAAAGATCAGAGTTTGCAGACCAAAGCTATTCCGGCTGTTTAAAAGGATTTATTTAGTGCTGGTAACCTATGGCCGATGCCCTAGTTGGAGAAATTGCTTTCTTCAGGACTCTTGTTTTAACAGAAATTGTGGCTGTGGTGTGTGAGCTCCTGAGGGCTTCATGACAAGATAATTGCAACTGCCTGTTCCTGTAGGGTTTGCTCCTCTCCATTTTAATCTGATAATACATTTTATGTTGTAAAACGTTGATTAGACACGGGTGCTATTAAAGAAGTTTCTGCTTCCCATAGATGAGAAATAAATGTTCTGTCTGAAATGTGTTGTTATCTTTTGACATCTCATTTAAATTTAGAACCTGGCTTTTGACTGCTATGCTAGTTGGGGGCAGGGAGTTGACACGGTTGGTAATAGTCTACTGTAATGCGTGAGTTGGAAATCTTAAGGACCTTAACTGTGACATGATTAAATAAATGAAGCAGTATTATGAAAGCGAAAGAAGAACATATTTGTTGACTCAAGAGCTGAATTGTGGAATCCTGGTGTTTCTTTGAGCTTGGTGGTTTTCTTGCAGACATTTCATGACCCAACTAGGTAACATCATCAGTGCTAAAAAGGAGAGGGATTTGTGGAGAGGAGGAGGAGGAAGACTGTGGGGTCCGTGGTACTCTCTGAGCTTGATTCTTGCAGATGTTTCATGGCCCAACTAGGTAATGTCATCAGTGCTAGAAGGGAGTGAGGTTGTAGAGTGGAGGAGGAGGAGAGGAGAAGGACGACGACTGTGGTGTCCTCGGTACTCTCTGAGCTTGGTTTTCTGCAGACGTTTCATGACCTAACTAGGTAACATCATCAGTGCTAGAAGGGAATAAGGTTGTAGAGTGGAGAAGGAGGAGGAGGAGGAGGAGGAGGA